GGGGAGCAAAGAGGGAAAGAAGGAGAGGAACTGTATTTAAAAAAAAAAACCCTATTTTTAAGGTTTTTTTTTTTTTTGGTAACTGCTAATGCTGAGCTTGAATATTAAAGCCGTTAAATGGAATAAGTTTTTTGGATATTTTTAGGTTCTTAAGGAAAGCAGCATGCTGACACTCTGTTATGTTAAATTTAAGAAAACACAGACACCAGAGAGAGAAGAGAATCAATACTAACCAAACCTGAAATTAACAAGTCACACTAAAGCACTGCAGCACTGCTATTAATTGTAATTAAACAAAAAAATAATAACAAGATGTTTGTTATGTATGGTTTTGCCTTGTTTAATAGCTTTAAAAGAGAAACCTTACCAATATACATGTCCCAGTAATGAGAGGGTAAAGCATGCAGAGTCACCAAACTCTGTAACAACATCATCATGGCTTTTCTGTTTATTTAACACTCCACCAGATAAGATTTGCTCCCCTTCTGCCAACCTTAAAAAACAAAAAACACAAAGAGGCTTAGAGAAGTTACAAGACTCACAACACTAGTGGTCATCCAATGTTTCTATCCTGCTGTAAACAAAAACAAAATGTTATCATTACTAATGGGTTCAAAATTGGACAGTCTCCTCCTGGAGGAGTCTCAAAATGTACAGCCATGGTGTCCAACATGCTAGCCACAGATGGCTGTTTGAGTGTGGCTAGTTTCCTACAGCAATAGTCACTATCGTGGCTAATGCTCCAGAACTACTTGGACACCACAGATGTAGAGTACTGCAGCTTCTGCTTGACAGACACACTACCAGCCTGGACACAGAACACTTACCCTGTGAAAGTCAGGCACCTTTAAAGGGTTGTCAAGAAAAACAACTGGATTTGGCTTGGTCTCCTACCTACGCTGTACCTTGATGGTCCCTGGCAGTTCCATTCTTGTGATTTAACATGGGGCTGTCCAGTGGGCTTGGAATTTTGATGCATTGCTTACTTACAAGGACAGAACTGACTGGGAGATCAAAGGCCTGGCACAGTGTATTGTACATACAATGTACCATGGATTGGTTTGTGCAGTTTAAAAGCAGGGATTTTAACATCACTGTAACTCTATTTTTGTATTGGGGGAGAGACTTTTTTTGCAGGTCAAGGAGAGGGGAATGGTCAGACTTGACAATATCCCTTTGAGCTTGTCTGTACACGGAAGATTGCAGTCCTTTACCTAAGCCAGTACAGTTCAAGTAGTACAAGCTCCCTAGCATGAAGGGAGTTATGTTAGGATAATTACTCTACTTCCGCTATAGGAATAAACTATACCAGAATCAAACTTTATACAGATATGACTGTCAGGAGAGAAACAGAACAAGTCACCTTACACTGGTCCCTGGCAAAAAGAGATTAAATTTATTTTTATTTCAACAGAACATTTGGAAATCAGATGTTCCACTTTACTACAGCAGGTACATCAAGAAATTAAAGTGGCATTACACCCAAGTCAAAGTCCTATTTAAATGCAATTATTATTTATTTCCCCCCATATTTACTTGCCCATTGCTGATGGGCAAAAGTTTTCCCCTGGATCTCCACCACAAAACATTTCATGCAGCTTGGCTACACAATGTGGATGGGAAGAGACAAGCTTCATCCCTTGAAAAAAATATACAGCATGGGTACAACCTAGAAAACAAAATGTATCAAGTTCAGCCTGCTGACCGGGAACACAGCAATATGCTTTATAGTCAGTTATTTATTGGAAGTAGAGAATTCTCTATGAACCCATAAACCCCCCAAACAACTAGGATACATTCTAAACCAAGACTGCCTTGTTCCCTAGGAACCATTGTGGCAACTGTGTTCAGCTGAAATACTCTTGCTAACTGTACAGTCACTAGGAAGTTAAGCTCAGGGAGGGCATAGAAGGTATAACGTTCTTAGGGAGGGCCCTCAATTCTGAAAGTCACTACAGAATATAGTACAAGCTGTATCTATTTAGTCTGGTTTTCTGTTGTGAAGGGATGAACATCTAATTTTTATACAAGTAGCAGTCCTGTGAAATCTTAGAGATTAACTAATATATTATATCACAAATCCATGGGTAAAATCCAAAAGTGGGATCTAGTCTCTAAGATGCCACAGGACTTCTCATTTTTAAAATTAAAATCTAACCTGGATACCCCTCTAAATCTAATTTTTAAACAGCCTTATTGCTTGGTAAATATTTTAAGACAGAGTCACATTATATGATATAATAATAAAATAATAATAATAATAATAATAATAAAGTAAAAAACATGAAGTTAAGCATACTTCCAATTTCTTACAGAAGAATACTATTTAGAGACTATGTCCCTCTAAAACAGGGGTTGGCAAAAGGGCCTCCGCAGGCTGGATCCGGCCTGCCAAGCAGGTTGATCCAGCCTGAAGAGAGCCTGCTGCTCCCCTGCCCCAAGGCCAATTAGGCTCTGGGGGTAGGGGAATGACCAAAGCCTTCTCCACTCTGCCCCCACTCTGCGAGCAGCGCACAGTATTTCAAAGCACTGTGCGCTGCTTGCAGGGGGCAGAGTGGAGAAGGCTTTGCGCACTCTCCCACCCCCAGGCCTTAATTGGCCTGGGGTCAGGGAAGCACGCGAAGCCTCCTCCTACCCTACCAGGAGCACGTGGCACTTTGAAGCACCACCTGCAGGGCGGCAGGAGAGTAGAGGAGGCTTCGTGCACTCCCCCACCCCCAGGCCAATCAGGGCCTGGGGGAGCTGCGTGAAGCTTCCTTCACCCTGCCCCACTTCAAAGTGCCACGTGCTCCTCACAGGGTGGGAGGAGGCTTCCTGCGCTCCCCCGCCCCCAGGCTCTGATTGGCCAGAGGGTGGGGGAGCATGCCGCATGGGTGCCTCGGAAGGGCGGGGTGCAAAGGGGCTCCCCAACCCCCAGACCAATCATGGTCTGGAGATGGGTAGCCCCGCCCCTTCCTGTTTAGGCCCCGCCCCTTCCGGGGTAGCCCGGAGCTACTTAAAATCTGTGTTAATATTCTACCCTTGTAATATGCTCTAGTTTTTGTCAGCCTCCTTCAAGCTGTTTTTCAAAAAACAAATCTGCCTGTGGCTGACCCCAGATTGCTATGCTACCCTCTTTATCAGGATACGTCAGCTTTATTTATTTATATTATTGTAGGGATTCTCTCTACCCTTCATAGTTGACTTTGTAGTTTTATGAGGAATCTTATTCAAATATGGGAAGAAACTTTCATTATAAAGAGCCCACTGCCCACAGAGCAGGCAGAAGATAATAAGGGGACTAGATGATGGCTAAAAATCATCAAGTAGATTCTTGCTTACTCTGTTGCAACTACAGAAAGGTGTCAGTTGAGGTGCTGATTTTGAGAAGTGGCTAGGAAAGATCTTGATTACAACAATAAAACTCATTCCACAGGAAGAACGAACAGATAAAGATCTAGACCAGATCTGAATCAACAACCCAGAAGCATACTTAGAACACCCCTTATTTTGAGGGAGGTCCCTCACTTCAGTCACAAAGTTCCATGTGTTCCACAAATCCGGTGTCCCCTAATTTTTATTATTGAAAATGAATCAGAAATGCAAAGCCAGGAGTCTGAGGTTATACAGTTAAGTTAATCTAAAAGGAAGGAATCCCACAGTATCGTAAATTCCCTGCACGGACATTATTTCCTCTCCGACACCTCATATGTGCCTCAGTAGTTTGAGAGGGCTGCCTAGATGTGAATGGAAAATGGGACTAAAACCTTCCTCCCCAAAAAAGTCTGTTGCTTTACCAGTCTCAATTCTCATCTTATTATAAGAATCAGGCTATATTAACCTGCACATAGAGACAACTCAAGGCCCATACACAATTTAATTCTGAATGCTTATATGGTGCATAAGGCTTGGGTAAGCACAAGGTTCCATGCTAATTCATAATTCTGCCAGCTTCTTCCATCAGTACCAGCTTCATGGATGGTGACTAATTTACTGTTTTAAGGGGTTTTTTTTTAAAGTTTAAATTCATGGTAGCAGCAGTTTATGAAGTAAACTACAACAAATTGAGGTGAATGCACTCAAGAGCACAGTTCCCAAACTGGCTTCATAAGTGACTTTTTAAATACAATTTCACAACTCCTTTGTAAAGCACTCAATACCTTTTGGCAGTTTCTGCAATATGGGCAATGCAATGGGTTTCTGCAATTAGGTCCAAATCTGAAAGCAAAATGAATTCCACTTGTGATAATCCTGAAAGCTAAAAGTCCAGTAAATTACCAGTTTATGCATTACAGTTTCCTAAAAAAATGGCCAGAATACTACAATACAATAGAAGCAGACTACTTACTTGCTGAGGTCGACACAACACTTTGCCAGCAGATATTTACATTGTGGGGTGGTACAGCTATGTCCCTTTAGGAGCCTGTATGCTTTATATGCCTTTCCTGAGCGGTAGTAACATGTTGCCAGCAAAAACAGTGCTTCATCTGAATGTACTAAACAAACAAAACAAGATCATTGTTACCCTTTGATCACTGAATATTTTGGAACAAGTGGTTGAGCTCCATAGGACTGCTGGCAACAGAATGTACAAATAATGTGACTCCTGCTGTGAGGGGAAAAAACAGGACAGATTAAAGGAATCAAGTGCATTTCCTTTACTAGCTACAGCACAAGAAATTTCATCATCCCATGATCTTTTAGTAATCCTGGCTGCCCCCAACTACTGTAGTGAATGAACATCCATTTTGGCCTCCATATCTACAAAAATGATTTACTATTTTTCTTAAATGTACTTGCAGAAATAAAGTGAAAAAATAATTTCTAATACAACATAATTATTATGACTACTTCTTGAACATGATAAGTCAAGGACCTAGAAGAGTATCTGCTAATAGTACTTTATCATCCCTATCTAGATATGTCTAGAAACAAGGAGCACCATTTTTTTCTATTAAGAAAAAAAAAAATCAGGTAACTGAGTGGATTTCAATGAGACTTGAGTGTTTTTAAAAATTTGACTTTGTAGTGCTATTTGGGTCTAACAGTTCTTTGAGTAAGGATTACACACCCAGTAAGTCATACTGAGCTCACAACGACGACGTTTAAGTTTATTTATTTCAGTGGATGTGTGGAAGGGGCCTTAATTATATTTTCATTTTTGTCACAAAGTAGTTACACTTTGCCAAACTTATAGCTACAGAGGATCTAAAGGTATATGTATTCGGTTACGACTGAGTTTTTAGAAGGATCATTTAGTACAAAGAGGTCTTCAAAGATGTAAAAATTTCACTTGCTATCATCAAACTTTTTGGGTCCTAAAAAAGTCTTTAGCGAGAAGGCATCTTTTCCTCCTACCAAGTTGGTTGATGCTGTTGCATCATTGTAAGCCACTTTATTTTTGTCAGTCTATCCATAGTTAATCTGGAAACTATGCACTTTACAAAGATCCAAAAGTTACCATGAAATATTAAAAGCAACAACAGACAGTCATTTATTTGATGTGCAGATATTTTGCGTATGAGACTTTATTGTTTACATTTTCTGAATATTAAAAATAGTCTGAAATGGATTTATTCACCTCCTCTTTCCATTATTTTGTTTAAGCGTGAGGAAAAAGAAGGGTTTATAGGAGGTTATGAAGGAAAAAGGCACAGGAAAGGGAATAGAGAAGGTAATTTGAGTGATGCTTAGAAGAACAGACCAAGTTAAATAAGGAGATTCATTGTGCAGCTATGTGCTTTCTGCACCGGATTTGAGAGTCATACCAAATCTGACTTCATTATGCTGAAGGAACAGGAATCCAAATGAACGTGTCTACTGAATTTTATGGTCTGCTGTGAACAACATTCAGTTTCCACTTCTAAATAACTTTTGTCTGCACACCTATCATGTCTGCACAGCATAGGAGGAGCAGAAAACATTTTTCAGAACATGAGGCAAGGTAGCAAAAATTAAAATGTGCATTTTAAATGAACAAGTAGTTTATAAAACTAGAACAGAAAAGTGTTGTATGCACCTTGCCCTACCTACATTAGGTGCTAATCTTTTTTGCATTCAGGTTTTAGGAAGTAGAATTTTAGGCACAGGTCCTTCAGGTTACAAAGCAGAAAAACACTCCCAT